AAAAAAAAAAAGAAAAACAAAAATGATAAGTGTAGGCGAGGATGTGGATAAATGGAAACCTTTGTACATTGCTGGTGAGAATATAAAATGGTGCAGCCACTACGGAAACCAGTTTGGTGGTTCCTCAAAAAGTTAAACATAGAATTACCACACCATACAACAATGCTAACCTACTTACAGAAGCAAAAGAATGGATAAGAAGGACTCAAACAGATAATAGTATACGGTGTACAGATAATAGTATACGGTGTTCCAAGTAGCACTATGTACAACAGGCCAAAGATGGAAAACCCCAAGTGTTACAACATGTGCTATATACACATAATGGAATATTCAAACATAAAAAGAAATGAAATTCTGATACATGATACAATATGGCTAAACCTTGAAAACAGTATGCTACATGAAATAAGCCTACTACGAAAAGACAAATATTGCGTAATTCCACTTGTATGAGATATCTACAATAGATAAATTCACAGATGGAAAGTAGAACAGAGGTTACCAGAGATAAGGAAGAGGAAAGAATGGGGAATTACTGTTTCATGGGTACTTGCTTGGGATCATGAAAAAGTTCTGGCAATATAATATATAGTGGTGATGATATGTATTCACAATATGTATTGTGAATGTATTTAATGATACACAATTATACACTTAAAAGGCTAAAATGGTAAAATATTATTATTATGTATATTTTACCACAATTTTAAAATGTTAAGTTTTCAGTCTTTCCTAAGAAACATATCAGAAATTTAGTTTTTCTTTCTTTCTTTCTTCTCTGCCCACTTTCTAACAGAGGAAGAGAGGCCACCAAACACAGCTTCAATTTCCCTATGCCTTAAGAGCACCTACCAATAGACTTGTTTTTTGGTAAGAGACAAGGCCCCTGTCTATTGTCCAGGCTGGAGTTCAGTGACAAACATAGCTTACTGAAGACCTGAACTCCAGAGCTTGAGCAATCTTCCTGAGTACATAGGACTACATACAGGTGCCATGCCACCATACTCAGCTAAGTTTTAAAAAAATTTTTTGTAGAGATAGGGCCTTGCTATGTTGCCCAGGCTGACCTTAAGTGATCTTCCCACCTCAGCCTCCCAAAGTGTTGGGATTACAACCATGAGCCATCATTCTTGGTTCTGTACTTATTTTAAAATATCTATTTCCCTCTTATTAAATATTCATATTATAGAAAAGTTGAAAACAGAAAACAAAAGGGTGATGTCAAAATTCCATTATTCTTAGCATTATGTGTGGCTTTCTGGTCTTTAATAATGAAGTTAAATGAAGTTGATAAGTTCCATATAGTGCTTATACTACAGAATAAATCAGTGCCAATCTCACTAATAAATTACCAGATCTGTTTGTGTCTTACAGAAATTCAGCTTAAAGCACTCTAGTTCCCTTATTTTCCTTTTAGATTTCTAAGTGGAGAACAGTATGACATCAGTGTGACTACCTCTGCTTTCTGAATATGATGCATTATTTGTTCCGTTCTCCTCTGGAATATAAAGAATAGTTCGTTCTTTCCATTAAAAAGTTACGTGGCTACCTAATTTGGCAAAACTTTCTCAGTGCTTTTGGTGAAAAGCATCTGAAAGGGATATGGAAAGCTATAGATATGATAAATGTGTTTTTACATTTTTCACCAGGCCAGTTCTGTTTCTTTTTCTTGAAAATTGAAGGGTACATAACATAATACCACATTATCTCCATGAGCTTCAACACGTGCTTTACAAACTCAAAAAATGAGAGAAAACAATGTAGGGAACTCAAATGAGTTTCTTCCCATACTTCTAATTCACTGTCCTGGGAAGAACTGGCATCAGCTTTCCTTTTGCCCCGGTTCTTGCCAGTCATGTTTTTCCTGGACTGATCATCAGTGTCTTTACTTGGTGTAGTCTGGGACACAGATGAGCCTGTAGAAGGGTCTCCTGGAAAGGAAAAATGAGACGTGTTACCAGTAGTCACAGGCTGTAAGAGGCAGAGCAGGAAGAGAGTTATCAGATTCTCTGTGCTTTTGAGTCATACTACAGGGATAAAGGTTGGAAAACTAAACATTACTGAAAGAAATTAGGGAATACAGATCTAGACATTGAGCATCAACACTGGCTAACATCACAAGAAGAGTTAAAACTAGACTTTATATGCTTGCCTCCTGATGGAAAAACACGTCTATGAAGTTGTTTTGCCAAAAAATATTGAACCTGAATCTGGGTCAAGCTTCTAGATCAGAGTTTCTCAACCTGTCACAACATTTTGGGCCAGATTACTTTTAGTTGTGGAGGGATGTCTTATGCATTGTACGATGTTTTATTAAGCAGCATCCTTGGCCTCTACCCACAAGATGCCAGCAGCACCCACCACCTAGCATGACAATCAAAGATGTTCCCATGTATTGCCAACCTGGAGGACAAAACTGCCTCTGGTTGAAAAACACTGCTCTAGATCCACTTACTAATTTACAATAAAATACAGAAGGCAGCAGGATATGTTAGACTACCCTATGAGGGTATAATTGGCAAAATTCAGACTGGGAAACAGTTTGGGACAACCAATACAGTTTCTTCAAGAAATAAATTAAAAA